TCTTAGATTGTTCAAAAAACTGCCAGTTGAATTTATACGTGTAAATTAACTTTATTTTCTGATTGAATACAAAATTCTCTTATCCAAAAGAAAGACAAAGATTCTGTTTCTCGAGGGATTTGTTTGCTGACGTCATGAGCGTGCACAATAGGAATATGAGGCACGCTCACGCAATTGAATTTGATTAGACAAATTTACTAGCTATGTTATAATTTTCATTGACAATTATACAGTTTTCTTTATAATTTTTCAACTTATCTTCACTGCCGAAACGCTGCAGACAATATGCACAAAACGCTTTCCATGTTCATCTTTAGTTTGGTTGAACATAGATATATTGAAGTCTTTTATTAGAACGTAATTTTTATTTTCGTTTTCTGTTATCAATAACAGATTCATCTGATCATCGAATTGTTCTTAAGATATGTAAATAGGAAATGATTTCTTTTCTTCGTAACTGAATACATTAATATTAATGTTATTTTGTCTCTCGATTTTATTGAAATGTTTCGCAGATGCCCGAGTAATGTGATAGCTGAGTAATTCAATTTTTCAAAATGTTGTTTTATCAGTTTTTCGATTCACTGAGGACATTGTTCTTGAGGGTTTAAATGTCGAATATGACACCATCTGAAACATTGATCATCACTGTTTTTCATGTTGACTAATCCTTTTGATGAGTTTCTTAGATCACATGGTAGTCTGATATAAGATGCTCCTTTTAACGGTTCATATTTACTATGTTGACATAATAATGAACAATCAATTCGATATTTCAACCTGGCCCTTCTGATTTCCAATTTCCAGTATTATCCAATATCTCTTGTTTTGATGTTTGTAATGCTTCATGTATTTTATCATGACTGATTATGATTTTAGATTTACTTTTGAAATAACCTGTCTTACATGTGTTTTTTATTACCAGATATTTTCGCGAAGATAATCCTAAATGTTTCGATGAATTTGAAACCATTTATTTCCAATAGTAATGTTATAAATTATTTTTCGATAAATTTAATTGCATTTTGCAATTTTTTCTATTGTTATTGTTATTTCAAATAATTCAGTGAATCCTTTCAGAACTTTATTAGTAAGAGTTATTTTAGTTCTAAATATTAGAGTTGGTTTTCCTAAAACGATCTCTTTAGTTCTTATTGGTGGTGTTGGTTTGTAATCATCCCTAAATTCAAATGGTGGGAGGAAGATATTGTCTTCATAATATTCATTTCCCATTTGTTTGACATTCTTACGAGGTTTTCATCATTAAGATTTCATCATTAGTTTCTGAATTCTCGCAGTAGTAACTGGTTTGTGATCATCAGTAATTGCCATTTTGGTTTCTGCTTCAAAAGCATTGTGATACAGATGTACATTGGGATTTTGATCATTTACTAAGATCTAATTTGTTCATTCTACTGAGTAATGAGCTAATAAGTAATTTTATAATTATTACATGTATCACAAAATCATTCTTTATTTAACATATATTTACTTTTGCTCTTAGTTATTCCATTTTTTTTTCTATCTTTATCAGTGAAATATTATATCTCTCCACCTCTTTTTCTCTATTCTTGTTTTTCCATACTATATTGAACAGCAGAAAATTCTTTATATGATGGCAAAGCTCTTGGAAGAAACGAACTCCCTTCTTTCGGTTCAAAGCCGAGCGAAATAACTAATATTCTAAGGAAACTCTTTTATTTAGTCAAAACCAAGGTTCCATCATAGGCAGTTTCAGTGATAAAAGTATCTTAATGCTTCTTAATTCTCAATGGTTTCAAATTAACAAGTTTTCTCTACAAACAAATGTCTTTCATTTTCATTTCGACATTAAAAGGATGATTGTACAGTTTTTCGGATTTCGTATGTTGTGCTCGACCTACTCATTAATAATCAGGACTGCCACAAAATTCGCAACACCATTCACTTCTATAATATTCTGTTATTGATTCAGATTTTGATCCATTTTGTTTTTATTTCTGATGATCATCGATAGCTTTTTTCCACAATTCTTGGCTTTTTTCATATAGATCCTGGAATTTTTTATGAAATTTAGATTTAACATGTTGATACTTGCATTTAATCCTACAATTATGAAGTGGACATATAGGACAATACCTTTGTCTAAATATATAATTTTAGAATAAATGATACATGCTTTTTTCCTTTCATGTTTGTTCAAATGTTTTGGAATCTTTTTTGTTCCTATTTCTACAACAGTTAGTGTCCTGTTTGATAGAAAGTATGCATCTTTCATTGATTTCAAATGTGTGTTTTTATCACACAACGTCACAATAGCATAAGGACAAATATTACACGATCAGTGTTTTCCTTCAGATGTTTGATTATTTTCACTCATGTACATTAGATAATTCTTACTATATAATGCATATAAATATGTTTATAAAAACACCTTTTTGTGTTGGGTGAGATTAGTTTATTTTAAACTTATTAGTGCAGTACCTACATTGTATCCTAATTCGAGGCATATATTCATATACTTTTCGCGAGATAAGATCGTAATTATTTGAAATTATGAATTCATAACCATTTACCAAATACTGCTCTTTTACTTTTAATTGTGATTCGCTTCTTTTGTAATTTATTTTTAATTCAAAACACAATAAATTGTAAAATTTGTGGCCATTCATAATGATGAAATCTGGTTGAATTTTCATATATCCCTTTCTATATGAACCTATTCTCTTTTTCTGGTATCTTGGTTTTGTCTCTGGATAAAATAGTCTAATATATCTCACAACTTTATCGTTATTTGTGCTAAAAATGGACAACGACCGTCAGCATCTTGCATCATGCTTAGCAGCCTGGCTCCTTAGCTATGAGCTAGGAAAAGTTTGCTATATTTTTCATCGCTAGACGATCTGCTTAGATAGTTGATAGCACCACAAAAAGATATCCTCGACTCATAAAATAATTTTTTTTTTTTTCAAAAATCAAAGCAGCAGCCTTTTGTGAAGCTCGCATAATGGTTATGAATTTAAGGCCAGGTTACTACGATGTTTTTTCAATGGCGCCGTTCAAAGTGAAATCTCCGAAAAGTTTGTTTGCCTTTTGGCATCTTAAAAGGCGGATAGTTACAATAATTCAATGTACGATTTTCATTGGTGAAGACATGTACCTCTTACTGATCTCTATTTCCTTCTCTTTCATGGCCCAGAACGAGGTTCCCTAAATTGTTAAAAATACGAATCTAAAAAACGAGCTTATCAAATATATGGGTTCAAGCAGGAACGATGGTTTCGGTTCGAAAAACTGAAATTGTGTGATCGTAGCGGAGTCTCTGACTTGTAAACAGCGCGTATGCTTTGTTATCGTAGACAGTGGTAAAGTTTTAAAGGGGAGGCCTTTGACGTAGGGCAGGACTGTGGTGGATCTAAACTCGGTGTGGTGTTCACTGCTGGCGGTCGGTGTCTTGTTTTTTGTTACTCTACCTACAAAATGCCTTGAAACATAGGTAGTCAACGATTGCATATGTCTACTTGGGGTAAATTTGGAATGTTCCTTTTCTTTTTTTTCTTTTTTAAAAATTCACCATAACACACATAATTCTCTCATAGATGAAGCAATGTAAAATTGTAAATATGAATTATTTTTGTAACAATCTTGGACATACGTGACAAAATTAGGGGATGGACAATCCTGTCATGTGTGGCCAAGCAATAAAATTAATCTACTATAATCTTGGACATTTCAACAAGGACAATGGTGTTGTTATCCTGGGGAGTCTTCTGGTATGCCTCTCTATCGCAAATTTTAAAATTTCACTCTCACAAGATCGAGTAATGTCCAGGATTACACGTAGATGGGGCCACGCTAGCCCATGAGAGGCATCACAAAGTGTCCTCATGTATAAAAATTCACCATAACACACATAATTCTCTCATAGATGAAGCAATGTAAAATTGTAAATATGAATTATTTTTGTAACAATCTTGGACATACGTGACAAAATTAGGGGATGGACAATCCTGTCATGTGTGGCCAAGAAATAAAATTAATCTACTATAATCTTGGACATTTCAACAAGGACAATGGTGTTGTTATCCTGCCATTATTACAAGTGATCATTTCATCATCTGAAGCTTCTGTTGGAAGACTTTTGTTGCATGTCTGTTACACTTTTGATATGATATCGTTAACCCTCTATTCCTCAAAATTTTACGGCTAGCTGTGAAATTTTCGAAATACATTATATCTTCTTTGTGATCTGAAGCCACGCTCCCAAACAAAATTAGTGAGGACACTTCGCCAGAGCAACGTCTACAAAGTTCTTTCACCATCTCACCCTTCAAATGTTGTTAATTACCAATGTTTCTATACCATCTAGCAGACCAATATTGAGAACAGAAGGAGGTAGTATGTGTGCCAACAAATGTGCTTGGGATTACAGATAACTTGAAGAACTTTACTCTTCTTTTAGTTGTTTTTGCTTGCTTGTTTGTTTGTTTGTTTGCTTTTTTTTTTGCTAATTCAAAGAGAGAGAGAGATCATTTATATTCAGTAAACCTAAATATTCACGGTAGTTAGAAAGAAATTGGTCGTTACTAATCACTAGGGAAGGGAGTCGAAGAATTTTGATCGTGTCGCGATAAAATCGACCTGATCCCCTTACAATGCTATGTAGTATTTTTATGATCTCCCCTTCATACTCTGTTGGCAACGACTATACCCCTTTGTTCCCCTTTAAAACCATGTGAAATCCACCGACTCCCCCTCTCTCTTTACTGGCAATGATTAATAACTGGTTTCTTATGTTTTCCTAGGAACTCAACTTCTTAGCAGTTTCATCTGGAATTCGTTATTCAAGTAAACTACCAGGTTTTACAGCGGTGATGGGACTAATAGAACGTTTGTGCTTTTTTAAACGTTTGTCGTTACTGCGAATCACCTTTGCTTTATGCTTTGTGGTGTCATTTTTTTTTATTTCAAGTCTGTTAAAAGTTACACCATCTAGAGATAGCCCACCAATTTTTTATTTTGCGAAAACGAACAAAACGAACGAAACGAATGAAATCGACGATTTCCGTCGTGAGTGGCTACGTCAGCATCGTGCGCGCTCGGACTGGCAAACCATAATCAAACCGTGTTATGACAATATGGCCTGGGGAAAGGTGAAGGCTGGATGGGGAAAAGTTAACAGAACCAACGCCTTCACAAGTAACATAATATTTCAGGACATCAGGCCTGCTGAAGAATATAGTAAGATTTTCATCCAGTCAAAAACTTCGGATAACAGAACAAAAGTAATCGGTGGAGACACCTGGAGAGTCCACGTACGTGGCCCATCAAGCATTGCGGCCACTGTTTTTGATCACAACAATGGAACTTATGAGGCTCTGTTTCTTATTATGGAGCCTGGTATCTACCAGCTGTCAATTTATCTGGATTATAGTCTATGTGATGGATTCAAGGACCCTCCACGTGACTGGTTCATTAAAGGGGACGCTCAAGGCAAATATCAGAAGGAAGGTCTTCTAGGCCCTCTGGATGATTATTTGGTAAAGCCCCTTCAGGGCGGAAGACTTTTCGAGATAAACGTAGCAAGAACAAAGATGAACTTGAAATTAGCCGGTAAGTAACCTGGAGGCTTTGACCGCGAACGCTTTGTAGGGGTGAATGTGTCGCTTAGAGCGCTTTTCGACTAATTATCGAAAAACCAAAACTAAGTTAATCAAAACGACCAGTCGGATGCAGCGAAAATTCCAAGAGCAGCCAATGAGAGCTAAATGCAAAAATACGTAAACAGCTTCAAGCGCGGGAAAACGCGAGTGACCAATTCGCGATTGGTTCGAGCCTTACATAATTTTTTTAGAAAAGGCGCGAATTCTCTGGACCGATCACAAAGCGAAGATCAAGGGCTCCTTGGAGCTACCTCATCGTATGTCTTAATTAATAAGAACTTTAACCTTTCATCTCTTTCCAATAGCGAATGGCGTACCCCAAAATGACTGGTTAGGTTTAACTTAAAAAGCATTAAGTTTAGCTGGAGTACTAAAAATACTGAGCTGTTTCATGAAAAGTTGCAAAAGTTGTCTTTTATTTTCCTGAAATTTGATTGGTTACTTTAATTTAAACAAGCCATAAAATCTGCTCGTTTGGTTTACTTTAGTAAAGCTTACTCATAGGCTGAGATAAAGATGGGATCTAGAGAAAAAAAAATGGTGCGGTTCTTGAATAAATCGCACCGACGAGAGCCAATACGATTGCAAGGACCACCAGTGATTTCAAACGGGATAAAATAAGTTGTTCAATTCAACAATATCTCACGGTTGATTTTTTACTTTCTTCTCATTACGTTTCTGCTTGGAAATGCACTAATCCTGTAGTAAGAGATTTATTACTGGTAACTCCTGAGAATATTAAGGTTCATCTCTCAATAACCTCTAGAATAACTGAATTTCAATTTATCGTTTATTAAATCTTTTTTCCCTACAGACAGACTTCATTCTCTAGAGTCTTGCTCCTCCACTTGCAACAACTTGTGGGAAGGATTTGGTCGATGGAAGAATGACACCTGGCGGCCATACCTTGAAGGTAAGAACTCACCTGTCGTTAGCCAAATAGGAGGAACCTGGCCATAATTTCCGTTGTAACAAAAATTAATAATAATAATGATAATACTAAGAATAATAATATTAATGATCATGATAAAACTGGTGGAAATTTTGCAATGGACATTTCACTAGATGACTCTTTTTTTTCATTGTTTCTAGGTCGAATTAAAATTTGGAATGCTGATTTTTGCAAGCATTTAATTCAATTCGCTGGCATTGGGCTGTGATTAGAACTAGTAATTAGGCTTAGAAAGATGCATAGACTACGAACAGTACCTCCTTTCGGTTTAGACCGTCAGGCCAGTTAAAAAAAAAGCAGGAAATTTGAGACTACATATGGCTACTGATACGGCACAACTTTTATGATATTAAAAAAAAACTAGGGGTTGTATAATAATGCTAAAAGGTAATGTTGTAGTAGATCTCTCTCATACGCAAAACAGAAACCTGCTGCATCCCACATATTTTTGAGAACCTTATTTAACCGAAGAAAGATGATTCAAGAATATAGTAAATAGTTGACACTCAACCAATAATTAAATGGTAACAAATAGTCATATTAACAATAATAACAATAATCATAATTTATAGGGGCTAGCTCAAGAACCTCACTGTTCCTCGACAGCCTATTCTCTAATTATTTTCTTATTTCATTGCAATTCTATTTTCGCGAGACTTTCGTTTCCTCCAGCAAGGTATTCCACATGGTAGGATATTCCACCATTCCATAATTCCACCGTTCTATCATTCTGTAAAATAAGGTCACGCGTTGAACTCTGGGAGTGGATTTCGTGCGCCCGACACTCCCAAAGTTTCGTGCGGCGCGATGACATTTTTTTTATTTTTTTATTGCTGTTGTTTTCTTCAGTGGCGCGAAGGATTCCGCATAAAGGAGGGACTGTTTATGGTCAAACGGATGAATTGAAATTTCCTTCTTTTTGGACTCGGTGCTCCCTCGACATGAGGGATTTTATATATCATTTAGTTTTTTCAACGCCATCTGGCAGAAGAAACTTGTCTCATATTTTTCACTTTTCTTTTCAATAATTGTTTCCTTACAGAATCATACAACTGGTCCTTACCAGCATACCACAACTCTTCTGGAACTTTATGGGTCTATGGGGATTCCTTAGGGCTTTTCTTTCATCAAGCAATCAGCTCTCGACCCCTGTGTAAAAGGCTCTACTCCAAATGCAAAAACAGTTATAACTGGCTCTATCCAAGAATTGATGGCAAAACTGAAAAGGATTTAGACCTTGACTTCCGTCCTGAGAAAGTCTTGAATGCTATTCGCGATGTTCTTCATACGACAGACCTACAACAACCTTCCAGTGTATTACTTTTAAACCTTGGACTTCATTATCCGTACAGCCTTAATTTTACAACTTTCCAAAAGGTCCTCGGGATGGTAATAAACTTGTTGAAAGAGACAAAGTATAAAGCGAAGGTCATTTGGAAATCAACTACAGCTATATTCAAGCATAAGGGAACGAAGTTCAACCCAACAGATAAGAGATTCCTCACACCGCAGGTTAGTGCATATTTCTCTGTAATGATAACCCTTGACTGGTAGTATAGTATTTGGGACCACAATTTTTCATCGCCATAGGGGAAGAGAGGGAGATCAGTCGTCTCTTAGAGATTTTAAAGGGGGACTATAGAAATTTGACCGTTATAAGTTAAACTTTTGCACAGCCTTAAGGCAGGACCAGGTAATCTTTATTGTGACACAGCTATAAGTAAAGACCGATCCCTTATCTTATTCTTTAATTATTTTTTTTTTCAGCGTATTCAATTGTTCAGCGCATACGCCATGTCCACCATCTGCCAGGCGGGTTTTGATGTCATAGACTTGTATCCGCTGACCCACTCGTATCCGGAGGGTACGTTCCCTAAGGACATATCCCACTATCCACACAAAGTGTTTTTCCCCCTCGAAACGCTTTTAGAAAAATATAAAGTAAACAAAAATCAACGAATAGGAACGGATGATAACAAGGTAAGAATTAGACGATGTACCAGCTGACCAAAAATATGTACAATTATCCCCAGTCTTCAGAGGTCAGTTTAAGATGTGCCATGTATCGCAAGTTTTATCTTTTTCTCTCCAGACCTGACACACTCATCAAGTTCCACTCCCCTCCTCACTGTTTGTGTTGCTGTAATATGAGCGTTTTAAGCCTTTTTTATCGTACTCCTCAACTTTGGAAGAGCTAAGCAAATTAAAACTTGACACCGTTGTGGCATTATATTGGTGGTTAGTCGAGGGGAAATATATTCTGGTGTTGGGCAGAATCGCATAGCTACAAGCCGAGAAATTTCCGAAAAGTAACTGTCTTAGATCAAAAGTGCCTTAACCAAATTTGAAAAACAGTCGATTGTTGTATTTAATTTCAAAATACTAAATTTCAACTCCATTTCAGAGTCATGATCATGTAAAGTCACAAGGATATCAATATCTAGAATAATAAGCATAGCACTGCAGGATGAATATAACAAACAATTAGAGTGGTGCATATCATTCTCTGGCAAAATAAAACCGTAGGTGTATAGCAAAATGCCTTAAATATTGAATTCATTGGCCAGCTTTTTCTTCTAATCCTACTTCCAAAGCCATGCGCTTTTTCGCCAAAGGTCGGCTTACACGAGGGGACCAACTGCATGGACTTGTTTCAGGGACAAGTTCCTCTAGATTTTTGCGCTTTCACTGAAATTCTGGGAAGCCTTGAGAAGGAAAAGGTGCGTTTCTAGCTCTGAAACCGAATTTACTAAACTCACCGCAAAACATTGAAGTTCACGTTCTCGGCAATAAAACAGGATAACGTCAATCTATAAAACAGGTCAGTCATTAACAATTTCGAAAACGTTGTTTCCCCCCTAAGGTTCGGTACGCTATGGATCAGGACTGAAAAAAAGCAGCGGTTCAAACTGAAGGCCTTTAGTTCAAACAAATTAGAGATTTATTCTTCAGGCCATTTCAATTAAAATTAGAACTGAATTAGAATTGATAGCGGGGCCATGGGACCTAAAATACTTCTCTGTGATTGGACGACGTGATTGAATACACCACTTAAGCAGTAGTGAAAAAAAGGCTTGAAAAAAAATTCAGGCTTGTACAAGATTTGAACCCATGATCTCTGTGATACCGGTGCAGCGCTCTGGTTATTATGTTGGCCCAAGATAACTTTTTTTTTTAATTTTCCAGGCCTTATTTTCACTACTGCTTAAGTAGTGTTCATGACTGCGAAGATCGCTTCCATATTCATTTCTTTATCCGCAGTTCACATGTATGATTTTCATATATTTACAGTCAGTTATTGATGAAGTACCCCGTTTAAATTTGAAAAGCTCTTAAGAGGCGATCTCTGTAAGAGCGGTCCAGGGCATTTCGCATCGGAAAAAAGTTTTCCCTCAAACTTTGCCCAATAAACAATTTTTGGTAACAAGTAAATAAAACCACATTAGTTTTTGGAAATGCCTCAAAATAAAATTTTTAGAGCTCTCAAAAGTCAAAGCTTAATGACCGTTTAATGTGAGTAGCTCAATAAATCTTAGATTTTAACCATTTTAAGTAGAAAATATAGTAGGACAGAGCTTTAAAACCACACCGATTAATACTTTAAGCATTTTAAAAGGCCAAAATTTGACCAATTTTATTATATCGTGACGAAAGACGTCAACAACAACTTATCGAATATCATAATTTGATTAGCGCTCGCAAACTCTTTGTTAAAAATTTGGCTTCTGTTATTTCATATTTGAGTTCTGATGGCTTACGCTATTCACACCTGTATGAACATTTCAAAATTAAACTACAGGATTCTATTTAGTGTAACCGGCGATAACAGCACACACTAAATTCACCTTGACCAGTGACTCTGTCACGTAATTCCATCGTGTAATTGTCCTGAATACTTCTCACGTCTAAATAAAGCAGCGATTTCTCGGATTTCTCGCTGAAAGGGAAAAATTAATATGTGGTCGTCACATCTGTCTGCATAACAGTCTCTGTTCATAAGTTTGAAGAGTTCTTGTAAAAAAAAGATATCGCATTCGCATAACGGGTGGACGTCATAACTAGATTGCATAGCAACTGCACTCCGAAATCATTTCCTCCATTTTTGCAAGAGATGCTGCATTTGTATCTTGCATTTTGAATGCGAGCTCAAAATGTTCGCATATGTCTCTTAGCATCTTGACTTTGAGACTAGACAACCTTGCTTCTCTTGCCAACGAGCACACATCATAGATATCAAACATGATTGGATGTTTCAATCTATCTCATCCATTACTGTGTTCCTCGCCTCTCTCAAACACCCTTCGTCTACATCAGACGCGGATGCTTCTATCAAGTGGTCGTCTGCGTCGGTGGCATCATCCGATTCTTGTTGTATTTTAGATTGCTGTTTAAGGCACAATCTCGAGAAGAAACCCTGAATCTGTATGTGGGATAACCACTCTGTTCTATCGAACATTCTCTCTCCATCTATTGTGCAAGCAGTTTGCATATCCTTTGCTACTTTCACTGGGTTTGGTTTCTGCCAGTGTCTCATCCGATATTAAATTTCTGTTTCAAGTACTGCCTGACGTTTTGCGAAAGCCGTTCACTTGCACCTCTCTTATGAAGAGCCCATCCCATGGGAAGCTTTGATGTACTTTTCAAGGGTTCTGTGGCCACTGCAACCAGTTCAGTCGAACTTTCACCCTCTAATGACAATGACTGAAAGTAATGAACCCACTACCTCTTCACTTTGTCATAAAGACTTTAAGTCATGCTCGCAGGCACAGGACTTACATGATGAACCAGCTTGTTTATATGGAAGTCAAGGTCGGCCTGCGTCTTAAAATCTTCATCGCAACCAGGTTCAGGGCATTGATAGGAACTACCGTCGTTGCCATCATTGCTTTCTCCTGCTGATGCAGTTCGTCGAGCAGTAGTGGGGAAAAATGGAATCTCCTTCACCAGATCCGTCATTTTTTCTGTGGAAAAATTGCAATTTTAATTTTACCGAATAAACTGTCCAGACCCAACATTAAACGCTCTCCAAACGCGCAGGCCCTCTTGTGTAATTTGCTGAAAGTGGCAATAGTGATGTCCGAGCCCTCGTAGAGATGATACTAGCTTACTGTTGTGATAGCAACCTGCTTCATCCGATCTTATAAAGGGCCTTTTTTATTCCTGAATTTCTTAACTTTATGGTGACAAAGAGATTTTCTAGGACTGACAGCACTGAAAACCAGTCTTTTTTACAGCTGTTAAGAAGGTCTACGTATCAGGTTACTTCCAGGCTTTCCTCCTGTCTTACAACAACGCTACTCACATGCCAATTGATTTCCCTCTGGGGAAACCATTCTGCTTGCTTTTCCCGGAACTTCATCGCTATGAACTTCATTGTCCAGTCAACTATTATAAATGCTTCATCTCCCTCCAAAGTATCGACAATTTGCCGCTCGTACTGATCCTGGTTTCTGCTCTCAGGATATACCCTCTCCATTCAAAGGTCTTAGCGGCAGCATTTTTTGCTTCATACAGATAGCCTTCCGCTTGAAACCTACCCAATTGCATTGTGTACTCAGAAATAGCGCCTTTTACTTCTTCAAGAACACTCTTCAACATCTCACAATCCTCACACTTCACGTTGCGACTGTGACTGCATACTTTCTGAACTTCAGTGTCACCAGCATAGCTCAGTGCAAAGACCCTACAGTGATCGGCACATTTACTATCGTCCTCTTCGCAGTGATTACGGTATGTAGTCTTCAAATACAACTTGCTCTCCTGAAGCCTCTTCCGAACTTCTTTACACTAGTCCTTTTCTGCTCCCACGCTTTCCAATTCGTCTATAATTTGGAGAAAATCCTTGAAACCGTCCGCTCCCTCAGCTGCAGTATCGTGCAAACCTCTATATAACACCATACATCTTAGAAATGGCCTTTGACTTTTGCAAATTGACAGAATACCGGCTCTTTAGCCCTTTGGAATCGCTACCAGGGTGTGTCGCATACTGGCACGCTGAACTTTGGCGCCAGAACTTCCCATAAGTGTGCCTATGCTTTGCGCAGACCCACATTTTGCCATAACTGAGTCTTCTGCATCGAACAGGCCAGCCCTTGCAAAGATAAGCTCTCCTTCTGTGAAACTCTCTTTTGACAAATGGATTAGGCAGAGATGACTCTTTATTGAGTCAGTAATCTGAGGCAAGTTAAACAAACCGGAAACTCCTCGTGAGTCTTCGAACGAAGTTTCTGAAGAACGCGACTGAAAACAGGACTTCTTTTTGCGAATACCGCTTCAAGAATTTAGTGTTATTAATCCCAAGCAAACCAGTACCGAAAGAGACATATGAATTACAGCTAATATAATTACGCACTTTACAGTATAGATATAGTTAACTGTTGGAAAAATGAGGTCACACGTAACGTAATAATTTATTTCCTCAAAAATCGCGTGGTCCTTTTCCACAAGAACTCCTTAGAGTTCTGAATAGAAACTTTCATAAAGACAGGTGTGCAGACAAAATTTCTCTTATTCCTGCCGACCAGAATTCGGATCCAAAAGGCGATGTTATCGCTGCTTTATTAAGAAGGGAGAAGCAAATGAGGATAATTACACATGTACAATTGAATTATGTGATAGTGGTCACGGTGTATTTCAGAGTGCGCTGTTATCGCCGGTTACACTAAATAGAATCCTGTAGTTTGGTTTTGAAATGTTCACACAGGTTTGAATAGCGTAAGCCATCAGAACTCAAATATGAAATAACAGAAGCCAAATTTTTAAAAAGGGGTTTGCGAGCGCTAATCAAATTGATATTCGATACGTTGTTGTTGACGTCTTTCGTCACGATATAATAAAATTGGTCAAATTTTGGCCTTTTAAAATGTTTAAGGTATTAATCGGTGTGGTCTTAAAGCTCTTTCTACTATATTTTCTATTATATTTTCTACTTCTAAGATTTATTGAGCTACTCGCATTAAACGGTCGGAGTTTGCTCAATGAACTAATTTTCATAATCGGCTGTCACG